TTGGACACACTGGGTGTTGATGTGTGTTGTGTGTCCGAAACTAGGATTAATGACCCTAACGGGGTTATTGAATTGACTGCCCCCGGCTTATCCTCTCGTTATTGGTTTTACGCATCCGGAGACGCTGATGCGGCACTCACGTGTCAAGCTGGTGTAGGCATCATTCTCAGCTCCAAGGCTGAGTCATCGTTGGTTGATTGGATTCCGGTGAACAGCCGTTTATATGCAGTCCGTTTGACGACATCAGCTAAGGTGAATTCGCGAAGTAAAACCAAACGCTGTTTGTTTGTGGTTTCCTTTTATGCTCCCACCGACTGCAGTTCTAATGCAGTCAAGGACACTTTCTATCACGAACTGAACGCCCTACTACGCAGTGCTACTAGTTCAGATACTATAGTACTTGCAGGGGATATGAACGCACAAGTAGGGCGTCAGCTCTTCAGAAACTCAGCTGGGTGGTAATTGTGGACTTAACTCCGGACGGACTGACAACGGCGAGCGTCTGCTGCAACTGTGTGCAGAGCACCAGTTGTTTCTTAGTAGCACTGCTTTTAGACACAGTGGGTGCCGAAGTGCCACTTCACGTCCACCTGTAACTGGCCAGCAGTGGACCCAAATTGACCACACAGCCATAAGTTACAGGTCTCGTGGTTCCATTCTGGATTGCCGTTCGTACTGGAGTACCTGTGTCAACTCTGATCGTGCGTTGGTGCGCTCTCGTTTCTCCATGAACTTCACCGGGAAGCGCACCAAGTGTCCCCTACGATTGGTAACGGAGAAATTCTTTCAGTCCTCGGTCAGGCAAGCCCATCAAGAAGCGCTGCATAGCGAACTCTCGCTGTCTTGTCCTAATGACACTGAATTTCTGTGGAATAGGATCTCGGCCGCTATGCACGACGCAGGAGCTTCTGTATGTGGCACTATCAGTCGTCACCGCACAAGTCACTGGATATCCGAGCGGTCTGTGAACCTGTTGGAAGCCAGAAGACACCTCCCGGCTCGTTCTGAACACAATGTGACCAGACGGGCTATTAGGCGTGAACTAAAGCAGAGCCTACGTGCTGACAAGGAAGCCTGGTGGACCAGTATGGTTCAATAAATGGAGGAGGCAGGAGCAGTAGGCATTTACCGCAAGCTTTTCCAGCTAATCCGCACCACTGGTCCCAGAATCCAGGCGTCAGTGAGGCAAGCAGAGACAGCGCGTGTGCACGGATATACAATAAGGAGTGCCGTATGGCTCGTCGGGCGGAACACGTTCAAGATCAGTTCAGCTGTCCCTCTGCTCCCGGACCCCTTCCTACTTAGGTGATGCAGGACGAGCCATGGACGGTTAGTTTAGAGCCTCCGTCGGAGGCCGAGGTCCGAAACGCGACCACAGCCCTTAATCATTTTCGTGCCGCTGGCCCGGATTCCCTCACACCTGCGCTATTTAAGAATGGAGGTGACGTCCTCTGCAGGGCACTAACCTCCCTGTTCGAACGTATTCGGAAGGAAGCGTCCCAGCTAATTAGAGCAAATCGACTATAGTGGCAATATGCAAAATGGGCAGTCGCACAGACTGTGTGAACCACAGGGGTATTAGCCTGACGCCAGTTGTGACAAAATTACTGGCCTCGATTATCGTTCGTCGCCTCACCGCGGAACGGGAATCTCGGATTAGGGAAGAGCAGGCCGGTTTTCGCCCAGGACTTGGCTGTAAAGACCATATATTTACTTTGCGGCAGGTGCTAGAGCAGCGCCACGCATACCGCAGACCGCCAATAGCCGTGTTCCTCGATTTCAAGAGTGCGTTCGATTCAGTCGATCGATCGATTCTGTTCGAAATACTTGCGCGGAAAGGTGTTCCCACGAAATATGTGAACATCCTTCGTGCTCTATACTCGAACACTACAGACTGCGACAGGGTCTACGGTGTCCTATCGGATGGCTTTTCGACTACAAGCGGCGTTCGTCAGGGTTGTCCGATTTCCCCATTTTTGTTCAATCTCGTCGTGGATCCTATCATGGAGTGTTCCCTTGCGGAATCTCTTGATGTAGGCGTTGAGGTGCTGCCTGGTGAAAGGTTAGTTGATCTAGATTATGCGGACGATATCGTCTTGCTTTTCGACATTGTTGAGGCGGCACAATCAACCCAAAATAACTTGTCCAGAGTGGTCCCATTATTTGGTATGCACTTCGCACCTTCAAAGTGCAAAGTGTTGCTGCAGGACCACCAGCCACTTGATGACCCCTTGACGCTTGCTAACGAGGAACTCGAGGTAGTTGATCAATTCACTTATCCTGGCAGCTGCATCAGCAATGATGGGCGCATAGAAAATGACGTGAGCTCACGCATTGCAAAAGCTAGGGCTACCTTCTTGAACCTGCGCCATATTTGGCGACAGAAGGGAGTTTCCCTCCGTCTGAAAGGCCGTGTATACAAGGCCACAGTGAGGGCCGTTCTGCTCTATGGTAGTGAAACTTGCCCCCTTCGGTCTGAAGATCTGAGACGCCTTCAAGTCTTTGATCATCGCTGTCTGCGAAGCATTGCTGGTGTCGGATGGCACCAGCGTGTCCGCAACGATGATGTGCGTAGGCGAGTACTAGGTGGTGATAATCGTGCTAGCTCCCTAGAACAACAGATAGCACTGAATAAGTTGTGTTGGCTCGGGCACGTGCTACGTATGCCTGATCACCGCTTACCTAGGAAGGCCTTGTTCAATCCACCAGGTGTAGGATGGCGCAAGGCTCGAGGTGGACAGAAGTTGACTTGGCAGCTGGAAATGAGGTCACTGATGACCAAACTTGCGGCCGTTGGTTTGTCTCGCCTTCCGGGTTGGAGTCCACGTGACTCACTTTGTGCTTGGCTCGAGACTTTACAGGACATGGATCGCAACCGACACCAGTGGCGCGTCTGCTGCCGTCTCCTAATCGGATTATCTGTTTAAAGTGTGTTTGGTGCTGAGTTATCTGCGGGGTAATGGCTGATTATGACGCGTAGCAGTGAAAGCCGCAAGGAAGCTGTCTCGCCGATGCCGCCTTATCTTTGCACGATAGCCAGCTGTTTGTGACGGTGTGTTGTCTAAACAAGGTGTAGGCGCCTTGACCCTGATTGTTTGCTTAGGACATTAAGGTTTTCAGGTAAGTCCCCTTTCTCTCTCTCTTCTTTTTCTTTATTTCATAGTTCTTCTTGGTTGTATGGCAGAGAAGCATCAGTTCAAATGACTGATGTACTGCTGTTGCTTATGATAATGACTTGTCACCTTTCTTCTTCAACTTCGCTATGGACCAAGTCAGGGAGATTGCATTTACAGGACATGACTTGGAAGGTGCGGTGCTACTCCCAAGAGAACGACTTCTTGACTTGAGTATGCAGACGATATTGCCCGCATCTGTCACAGCTACCAGACTTGCCAAGCCGCGCTGGACAGCTTAACAGTAGCTGTCAGCCGCTTCGGGCTTTGCTCTGCACCATCGAAATGCAAAGTGTTCCTCCAAGGTTGGCAGTGATCGCCTCCTGCGCTGACCCTTGGTGGGGATCAGCTGGAAGTCGTTCGGAAATTCAACAACCTAGGAAGTTGTACCAGCGCTCTTAGGATCGAAGACGAGGTCACGAACCGTATAGCAAAAGCTCGGAGTGCTTTTGCTAATCTTCGCCACCTATGGTGGCGGCGCGACATTACTCTCGCCTTGAAGGGTAGAGTGTATATTGCAGCGGTACGTTCGACCTTACCGTACGGTTGCGAAACTTGGCCCCTAAGATGGGCACACATAAAGCATCTATTTACGTTAGATCATCGATGCCTTCGCAGTTTGGCCGACATCTGGTGTAAACTACGCGTGAGTAACGGGCGTATTCGACGCCTTGTTTACGGCGAAGGAAAATTAACTGAACCGTTCAGCACCGTCATTTCACGCACCAGGCTCCGATGGCTGAGCTACATGTTGCGCATGCCAGCCCACCGACTTCCATGACGTGGGTTGTTTGCTCACCGTGGATGTGGATGGAAAAAGAGGAGGGGTGACCAACAGATGACTTGGTCCAGAGGAATGAAAGTCCTCACTTCGGAGCTGGCCTGGGTTGGCTCGTCACGCCTCCCTGGTTGGGGTCAAAAAGACGATGAACACGTTTGACTGGATACTCTTGCTGACATGACAAGAAGCGGACCTCATTGGCGTTCACGCTATGCGTTTCTTTGTCCCTCCCCATCCCTTTTAGCTTCCCCTCCATCTACGATCTCATTTCGTCGCGTGAGACATAATTTTTCTTTTGCCTAGTATCCGGCTGGTAGCTTATCGGGGCGATGCGCATCCGTTGCTGGTAGCTCAGCTGGCATGCAACTGTTGCATTTATTTTCCTTTTCCATTATGAATTGCGGCACAGTAGCTGAGGTGTTTCCCACCTCTAGCTGATGTGTATAATGATGAATGATGATGATTTCGCTCGCAAGGCCTTTAGTCCATACAAGCCAGGTGATACCATTTAGCTCAAATCATTGGTAATACCAACAGGAGTTCCGGCTAAATTCCATCGCCACTGGGAAGGGCTGTTTATAGTTGCTGATGTACTATCCGACTTAGCGAATAAGGAAGCCTGGGACACCGGACTCTTCGACGGTCGTGCAATCCAACAGATTGAAACCGGCTAAGGATTTCACGGGCGCCGAGGTCAGCGCCTGTTAGAGGGGGAGGATATTGTAACGTAAATAAAGGCATTCGTGCTACGTGCCCAGAACATGCTGTTATCTTCTATACCAGAGTGGACATCGACATTGGAGTATTCGGGTCAAAACCAGCAAGAACTGGATGGCGACGTAAATTTTCACCACTGACTTTGTTTTAATTCCTTCCCCTCTTCCGGTTCGACCGACCTTGTAACAAAACTACTTTACCACTTTGTCACGCTTACGCACGCTTTCTGCTCGCCAGTAATCGAATATATTTCCTACTGCCTGCGTTCTTACTAGATGGTTTAGATACCCATAGCCAACCGCCTATAAAGTATTTGTTTTGACTTTCAACCTCACCAGCGTCTTACGACCGAGTATACGCGAAGGACTTGGAGGAACTTGGAGCCCTTGACCGGGCGCACACTACGGCAGCTAATGTAGCGCGTCTGAGTGTCGCCACAGCAACTCAGCAGGTAAGATGTCATCGAGCCTAGCCTCGATTGCGGTTGTTCTATGTATGTATCTCTAATCCCAACAGTCTAGCAATTAGACATAAAGCCAGCAATGCCATGGGGATTAACAGATAAGGAGAACTCTGCGTCAGGATCATCGTGGCATAGTAAGTGAAGGTAAGCAACACACTTCAGCTACTATGGCGCAGGAAGAAAGGAATATTTTAACAAAAGCTACAAGAAAACCTTCTTAGTTTGTTTTTCACACGCCGATTTTTCTCTTTCTTGCCATTTTCAATGTTTGAAGTATTAAACATGTGAATCATTACCATTATGTACACAATTCTTCCACTGACTTCGCTTGCGGGCCGTCATGGAGAGAGTTAAGTCATTGTAAGCGCACATGTGTTTTCCTTCGAGGCATTTATCCATATTCGCAATCCTGGTTCTGAAGGTCACATATATGTTGAGCGACTTTAACACAGGTGGGTCCAGGATTGCCAAGACTGTAGCGCCCAAAAAGATAACTCTTATCTTTCGTGTACAATTTACTTGTTGACCGATTGTACATTACTCCTTCTTGTTTTAATCTTACAACCGGCTCGACACACAACTGCCTTGTAAGTCCCCGCGCTCACGTGTACGCTCTTGCCTCGCTTCAGGGACCAGGACTCACGTTTGGCGGGAACGGGTTTGCGGGCCAAGACCAACCGGCACAGCCAGGAGTATAATGGTGGCGTAGGATAATGATATGTAGTTAGTTAAATTGTAAATGATATAAATTATCGGTTAGCATCTGTATGAATGAAAGGAAGTCCCATAGCTTTTATAGCACAGTAGTTTACTGTAACCTTGGTAGCGGGTGCCCGGATTTTCCAACTGCATAAAAGGGTCTAAAGTGGACCTAGGTTATTGGATAAGTAAATAGTGCGTTCCGTTGATCAGAAAATGAAGGGAAGTGTTTTTAAGGTACTGTATGAAAAGCCATACACACAAAGTAAACAGGAAATGCGTATTACGCTTACCTCAACATGCTGCTATGTGATGTGGTTTTTGGGCGTAATTGATAAGTAGGATTGTTAGCGCGCTCTGGAAAATAAGTGGATAAGAGTAGAAATTGCTTTAGGAATTAAATGTCTATTACAGGGTAAACATGTATGATAGGTATAAACCGGTTGACACCGTGATATGTGCACACATAATCACATAAGGGACGTGTAATGTAATGCTTAGTTAAAGCGGAACAAGGATGTGTAAGCGTCAGTTGCAGGTCGGAATGCCCCGGGGCACACTAAGTTCAATGATGTAAGGTGAATGATAGGTCGAAATGCGTGTTAGTCCCTATTATACATGTGGCGCCTTAATGCTCTTTACGGCGGAATGGCAAGCTATAGGGGGCATAAATTGTCGATGAAACATGCTATATATATAAATATATATATATATCCGATTTCAGGAGCATCAGTACGATATATTAGTAGGTTACATTTTCAACAATGTAAACGCATATATTTATATATTTATAAACCAATTACGTTCATATAGCGTTATGTTAAATGTATATACGCATTAACAACTATATGCGTATATACACAAATATGTATTTATCTGTTTATGGAAATGTGGTTAATAAAGCTTTCATATATATATATATATATATATATATATATATATATATATAATGGCTTAGGGAAATGAAAACATCTGCTTGCTTATAAATATGTGCGTTTCTATTTTCGCAAAATTATTTGGTTAAGAGATGTAATTGCTGATGCCTCAATCTTTCTTTGGCTATATGGTTATGTGGGACTACGTTTGTATAATTAATAAGGTAGCACGGATAACCGGCATAAAGCTGTGTAACAATGCGATACGTTATTATTGTTTGCATAAATTACGTAATGCAGCTTCCCGTAACTGGAGTTAACAATGCCAAAGTGTACGTTATTTTCAACTCGGGGATCTAATTGTACTTTTCCATATGTGCTTTAAACATTAACTACATATGTGCTTGCCAGTGTTCATTGAGTTTAAGCATTACCTGCTCTTGTACATCTCAAAGTATCCGGAATAGAGGAAGCAGTGTACACATGTTATGCATATCATAATACGGTTATTATTAATAGCGGCAAGGGGAATTTATCATGTGCAGTAAATGCGGAAATTATATGACGCGTTATCAATAATGGGATGGCAAAGAAGAAAGGAGGAAGTCATTTAATAGGGTTGATAATATTTCACACACTTATCCCAGAGATATAAGCTGGACCACATGTTTGTTGCATGTTGCTGCGATGATGAACGGTGCATTGTAAGGCCATATGCTTCGCACACAGGTAGCATTTGTATGCGCACTCAACGGGACTGTGTTTTCGCCTCGGTTGCCTACAAGCTCGATGCATGTAAAAGTATCATGTGTTATATGGCAGTGTTGTCATAGTAGTCGATAAAGAAGTATGCGTTTATTGTCTCACTGCAGTAAAGTGACTGCGCTCATTACGCCTACATATGTTTCACAAGGAAACCTGAATATGGCCTACATGTGCACTTCTATACGGGGTTCCAGGACTCCACGTGGACGGCCTTTACTTGGACAACGTTTGTCTCATGACACGTACATCATTATAGGCACTGGGAATGAGCCGCTTATTGGCTGTGCAGGCCTTGAAGGTTTGTTTTTAGTAATGGTATATTGGTCGCATATCATTAGTGTCGTTATGGACATGGCAAGGTTCCCATTTTTTGATATTAGTCTATAAATAAGCTCCTAATGGACCGTCATCGGTAGTAAGTGAATAACGGCTGATGAATGAAATAAGCTGGAAGCTGTACTCCCCAATGAATGTTTAGAACTTTGCTCATGACAGGGGCATGATGTTTGCCACTAGGGAGTTTGCAAGGCTTAGCGTCATACACCTGCATGACCGAAGCCCAAAAAGTCTATGTATGTGTCACGGCGGTGACATCATAATAAGCACGGTGGAGGACTGCAATATTGGCCCTGCTGACCTACATTAGCAGTACTTATGAAGTGGTTATAGCAGGGGTAGCATGCTTGATTATGGATAGGAGGGCAGCCACAGAGGTACGCTTAGGACTGTGCGTCAAAGCAAACGCAATGCATGGGCATTGTGAACGGTAACGCTACAAGTTTTACGGGATCAAATGGTCAATACTTGGTTTCTCTCATGGCTTTCAACTGCGTTGAATGCGTTATGCCGCCTAATAGTGAAAAATGGAAATGGTAACAAAAAGGAGACACCAAAGGAACACTGACGTCTGTACCGATTCCGAATATCCCCGTTATCATGGGGAGCGTGCGAGGCGCTCTTGACCCAGGACGCGGGAGCACTGAGGAATGGTTTATGGATATGTGTTCCGTGCACACTCACATGGAAGTAATATGCATTTAAGTAAGGCAGCGTTGACTTACTTTATCACACGTTACCGCTGTCCGTCACCTCCCGGTTGTGCTTTGAATGGTTTCTGTTAAAGAAGTTATAACGGGAAATGCCTGGAAATAAGGAAGTGGAGGATAGGTTTTAAAGATAGCATAAGGTTAGCATGCCTAGTTACCTATAAAGTCAAGATGAGGGTGCATACGGAAGGTAGCACTATTGAATAAACAAGTGAAACAATCGTCAACGTTTTGGCTTGACATTATTACGCACCTTGTTGGGAAGTCGGCTTTCCACGTGGTGTGTTGTCCATGTATAGGACACTGAATGCGCTGGAATGCAGTTGTTTGCATGCAGACGGAAGGGCATTTCACATCAACGGTGGTAGGCTGTAAGCATAAGTAATGAGGTTAAACAGCTTCCTTACCTTTTGTTGCGAGATCGGCACCGAAGACGTAATGCCTGGTACGCGTAGGTTGAAATCCCATAACGGACGTCAATGGGAATTACATTTTGTCTACGTGCGTAGTTTTCCGCTTATGCAGATGACGTAACTGTATGTTACCAGTTAATACATCGGTTATCTCCTGTTCAATGTTTCCGGTGCGAAGGTGTGTTGTAATCACCAACGAAGTGGGCAATGGGAGAGAAATGGTAACTGAAGAGGTGGTAAGAGGATCAAAGGTTCCATTGTACCTGGTGCGTTGTCTGAAAACAAAGTGAAACGTGAATTAATGAGTTTCACAAGGTATCCGAAGAGTGTTGAGCGGCACTTTAATCGGCGGACGATTACGGGCCCATCCACTGCACCTACATGCCAGTGCTCCAACCGCTGCAAGTGTCCGGTGTTTCTGGGATACCTACAGACAGGGAACGCATGGCTATAGGACAGTGGGTGGCCCTGAAAAGGGCCTTTGGGTCGTTCACGCACAGACGGATGACGTGGGCGCGTTACTTATCGGAAATGCAAGCGCAATGTGGAAGCTGAGTAACGCTGCTGCAAGCGTGGGAGGTGGGAATGTTAACCATTACTGTGGAAGTATAAGGTGAGTTAAAAATCGCACTAACCTGTGATAATGCTGGTGCCGGGTACCGTAAGTGTTGAAGTAAGCCGAGGGAGGTGAACAGGACGGCGGCTTGGCGGAGGACGTTGGTGGTTTGGCACCTTGGCTGAAAGCGGAGCATATACATTTAATGCACTTGCCAACGCCCATCGGATGCTTCAGTTTTACTGCGAACGGTGGCTAAGGCTACTGCATGTGCTGAAATAGGGCGACATCACTAATTCTGTGGAGGCATAAGTGAGTGATACAAACGCACTTACTGTTTTCCGGGAGGCGGCATGACACAGCATGTGCCTGCGCGGGATGCTGCACAGCACGGGGGCATGGCGGATGACGTTGGTGGTCTGTCACTTGGGCTAAAATTGGAGCATATACATTTAATGCACTTGCCAACGTACATCGGGGGCTTCAGTTTGACTGCGAACGGTGGCTAAGGCTACTGCATGTGACGATCGATTGCATTGGCAACTATATAGCCGGGTGGCAAAAAAAATGTGTATACCTTCGCGCGGGCGCAACGGCCTACAGTTACGCTGCACATAGGAATTTGCCGTTTCTA